GAGCTTGAAAGCCAATATTGTTAATACCACCTTAATTCTTCACAGCCTTAATGCTCTTAGACTTTTAGACTCTTAGAGCTTTCTTGTCATTTCTTTAAATAGTCTTTAGAAACAACTCTTCAGGCCTTTTGGAGGAAATTCAAAGCTCTTCTTTGGATGTTGGCTGCCTTTTGCCTTCTCTATCAAGATGATAGCCATGACAGAGCATTCACTGTGTTTTACAGATGGCTGTAGACACTTACTGTTGTACCTCACTCCTGACCTCCTCTGTATATATTGACAATAATCTGAAAGAAAAATTCAAATTTGGATTAATCACTCCAAAAGGTCTGTTGCCACTGATTTTCAGTCCAGTTCTTTTGTAATTTGGCATTCTACCTATTTCCGTTTCTTAGGAATGACGTCTTGATAGCTAGCCTTCAACTGAGGCCATTTCTGATGGATGAATGATGATCAGTTAAAGGGTCAGATGAATCCAGTCTTTGATAGATGTTTTTTCCAATTCCTCAAGGACATAACTTTCCATTTTGTTGAGGACACGCTGCACACCGTGCTGAGATACAGTGTTTTCAGCTAATAGCTCCATGGGAATCACTGCGTTGGTGAAAAATATTATTACACTAGTTAAGTTTTCTATTATCTCCAGTGTTTCTTATATCTGGGATTAAGTCTGATAAACCTTTTTTTTTAATTTGTGATCATTAAAAGCCAGTATCATAATACTGTCAATGCTATTATTTTTTCCACAATGAACATGTATTAATTTCTTTCACATAAAAGGTAGAAAAACTGCTCTAACTAAACAAACCAAGCAAACAAACAGAAAACAAAACAAAGTAAGACACTATAAGCCAAATTGCTATTTTAACCATTGGTATCAGTCTAAACTTTCACAATCACTGCATTTTTTTCTCTATTTTTAGGGCACGCTGTGGCTAATAAAAAAGTTCCCCATTCCATCATGTTCATTGACGGGAATGAGGCCACTGTTTCCATGGTGATATTTGTAATCTAGTCTGTCTCTAAGGGTGTGAGGATTGTTCTCCATTGTCCTCAAGAAAAGAGATGCAAGGGGAAAAAAAGAGAGGACAAAATTCTGAAAAGGGGAGTCAGTCACAGCCTAGCTTGGGATATGCCAAGAGAGATGATTCATATGTGAATTATAGAGTATTAATTTTTTTTTTATTATTATTTCTTTAACAGTATTTTATGTTCAGGAAAAACTGAAATAAACCTCTGTTGTTTGTGTAACTTAGAATTCCAAAGATATCTAAGTTGACTTTAAATTTTGTGCTGTTAAATATTATGTAAGGTTTAAGGTGCAAAACTGGAAAAAATGTGGTATCCAGGTTCTGTTGAGTCACCTTTCCAGTCTCTACAACTCCCCTTCTAAGCTGTCGATTAGAACTGATATGTTTTAAAGCTTGACTCAGAAGTAAAGGCACATTTGTCTACTGTGTACACATCACTTTCTGTTACTGCTTACTTGAATTGAAAAGGTTACTTGGTGGTTTTCCTTTATAGCGAGGCACTTTTCAAAAATACTGAGATATTGCAATTACATATTGCAGTAAGTCAAAGGATGAAGTTTTTATCCACTTAATAGACAAACATGAAAGTAGAGACGAGGCCACATCTAAAAATAGGGCTGAGATGGATTTTAAAAACACAAACTGCCACACATGCTTCCTGGGCTTTGTGCTTGTGCCTTATTAAATATTCAGGAAAAGAGCCATCCTTGAAAAAAGTTTTCAAAGATGCCAAAAGCTGCCCATTGTTCAGAGTGAGAGCAGCGATGATTGGATTTTGTTTGAACAAAAGAAAAGCTTCATCAAAGTTGGATTGTCATTATTTCACATGGCCCAAGACCGGGTGCAGAAAGTCTCATCTCTCAGTGGACTCTGACTTTGTTTGCTGCTTAATGTTTGATTCGCATGAGGGTTTAAACTACGGCACTGTGTTGTCGAATTAGCATGTGTGTAGCACTTAATGATTTCTCAAAAGGAAAGATTTGAAACATGATTCTGAATAAACAAAACAATTACCATCATTTACATCACAAAGTGGTAAACAGACTAGATGAAATGAATGAAAATATCTGTGTAAGTGTTCTTATAGTGAAATAAAGTGTAAAGAAAGAATGTAACTTCTTTAAGAATTAAAGGACAATGTACTTTTGCAAGTAAAGTTTGGTTTCTGAAAATTAGCCTTGTCATGCAAACTTTTTAGAATGCTACTGATGTACTGTCGGAGGGATCTGTAGGGTCCTCCTCAGTGGTTAGCACAGCAGCAATAAAAACACGTCAGCATTTCTCTCCTTGCTCGTTAAAAGCAAACTGACACCAGCATGCATAACTCCTGAATAGAAGTAAATGTACTTGCAGACCTGGGATTTCTTTTGTGTGTTAAGTCCGCCATTACCACCTAATGTTAGCTACGTTTTTAAGAATAGTTACACACGATGGAAATGCAGAAATCTGTTGCTGTGATCTTTTATTCATTGGCATCATTCTTTTATACTTTTGTTTATCTTTGAAGTCTTTCTGCCCTCCTGCTGTGTATGACACAGCATGTGGGGGTATCGCTTCTATTTAGTTTATTCAGCAGACATCAGCGTGACACTGAGGGTGTTTGACATCCTCAAATATTCCTGCGACTCTAGTCTGTGTTGGCTGTTTTGTGGTTAACAAATTAAACTTTGACTCTCTTCAATAGATATTTCCTGCTCAAATATTTTATGACTGCACTCATTATAGGATTTATTCTTAATTTTTGTCTCACTCTCTCTTCATCTAATCATTTTGATCATCTTGTAGTTTAATGTAGCCACTTACAATGCATGTGAATGATTCTTGACTCATTTTACTCGTTCCTAGAGATACATAACAATAATAAGGCAGGGAAAATGCATCTTCTGTATTACCCGTAGCTGCCATTGAATTTGGTTACTTTTCCCCTCTGCTTTGGATCAGCATCTGTCGGTGTTGATGAAGTAACACCGGAGACACTTTGTATCCTGGCATCGAGTTTTACCTTTTGTATGAAGCTCATTTATGTATTCCTGTGCTAGTGATAGCTACTCTCAATTTGAACAGAGTAAATGCACTGTCTTGTAGATGGGATGCTTCTTAAAATTGAAGTGAATGATACAGCATTCAGAAACTGGTGTTCAGTGTCGTTTGCAATAATGTCATGAGGAAGTAATGTATGGTTATTTAACATTATACATTATAGAACAGTTTTCAGTTCTTTTTTGTCTTCTCTATGTTTACAGGGGGCAAGTCCATTGGATCATGCTTCCAGTCCCAGTGTAGCCAGCATACAGCAACCTCGAGGGAGAAACAGTTTTGTCCACGAACACTTCCAGGCTCAGTACAGGTGAGAAGCACAGATGTAAAAATTGTGTTAAAGAACTTTGTTTTTAACATAATGTTTGTAGCATCAGGTGAATGGATTCCTTATTTGTTGGCCTTTAAGCTTCAGATAGTTTCAACTGCACTCTTAGACTTACGCTGACAACGATTTTTGGAAACTCTTCCAGGTATCTCACCAATTATGCAACATTCGGTTACATGATGTCCTGGGGTTGTGTTTAAATAAACAGAATGAAATGCATACTTTTAAACATATATCGCTTTGGCTAAAGTGACAATGTATTTTCTCTCCTCTGGATAAAAATCAGTACCTTGGGAAAAAGTAGGTCGGACAGACCTATAAAGGATTAAGGGATTTATCTTTAGTAGTGGCCTCTGGCTCTTATTCCTTCATTCACAGTGGAAAGTCAGTGACTGAGGTTTTCTAGTTTAATAGATCCATTAATGGAACTGCCTCTAGACCTTTGAGAAACTTTGTCAGCACATGTGGTGGTCTACAATAACATCACTTTGAACATTCATTTTTTCACTTGATTGCTGAACACTGTAAACTTGCTGCAATGTGAATATCAGGATGTAGTAAAAAAAATTCTTTATTTTAAGTTAATATTCGATTGGATAGTCAGATGATCTAAAAAGGAAATAACTTAGTATTTGGAAGGGAGAGATTATTTTTAGAATAAAAAAAGAAACACACACAAAACATATTAGTGAAAGGTAGTCTTGGCCCATAATGATAGGAATCTTTTCAGCTCCTTGTTACTAAGCCTGATTGAAGCTTGTGAATGTCTTTTATGCATGACTGTAAGGCACGCTGTCATCAGCAGTTAGGCCAGTACAGTATGTTTCTGCATGTAGCAAAATAATAAGGGACGATCTGATATCCTCGTGTTGGTGTTGTTCCCACATCATCATAATAAATGTTGTTCCAGGTTCAACATTGCAAGTGACCAATCACATTGTTGTGACGTCCCTAAAGCACCTAAGCATAGAAGAAAGTGTTTGTATTAATGGGTGAATGAGGCACTATATACTGCATGAACCAGTCCATTTACCATTTAGAAGTGCATAACATAGCATTTCTAAGTGGAAACAAAGTGGAGGACATTTTCCATCCTTCTTTTCAGTTGCTTAAAAAGTTGCTTAAAATCCTCTTTTTCCACTGTTTGAATTAGCGTGATATATTTGGCTAAGTAAAACATAATGGCATCAGTTATTTCCATTCGTGTTTACGCCTCCTGTCATACAGAGTATAACTAGCAAGTGCTCCAGTTAGGCTCAGTTTGTTTAGTTTTGGGATGTACATCACCAGCTGCTCATATCTGCTCTTTTCATGACTTCCCAGCCTGCTTATTTTCATTCCATGGTGTATTTTTGCCTCAAGTGGTGAAACAAGGTTTTTTGTTGTTTTTTTTTGCATATTTTGCAGAGCATTGTGCTTCATTGGAAGATGTTGAAGTCCCCTTTTACTAAATCTTCATCAAAGGTGGACATGTGACTTTGGCTGTCAGACATATGTGTGCTTTTCTCATTGTTGTGCACATTAGAAAACATTAGACCAATAATATCATGATATTGCACTTTATCACGCAAAAATGATACCAGTATTGTCACAAATGATATGATGGATTCTTATGATGTGTTCGTTGACACTGGGAAGTCTAGCTTAGTTCAGGGGTCACAAATCTGCAGCTCTGAAGTCACATCCAGAGGCTACTTTATGTAAGGCTTTGATAAGAAACTAGATGAATTAGGGCTAAAACTAAAGTTTTGGTTTTTTTTTTTTAATTAAAAAAAACTTCTGTAACCTATTAAAAAATGAACAATTTAAATTAAACTTATTATAATTTTTTACATGTATCATAGTAAGTCCTGATTCCCACTAGGAATATTTTCCAACCTGCGGCCCTTTACTGCATGTCTTCCTCTCTCTCCACTTTCCCATGTGTCTACACTGTCTCTATCCAAATTTAAAAAAAAAAAAAAAAAAGATTAGAAGAAGCATTAGTAGGAACACGGTGACAGACCTAAAGCTGTTGATTGAGAATCAGCCTAAACTAGTACATCTTTAGATGATCAAAATTGCTTATTCAAAACACAAATACTTAAAACTTTACTTTCTGCTTATGTGATGATCAGAGCTAGGATTTTACGTTGGGCATGAGCTGCAGAAGATTGTCAGATTTCACCCTAAACTTTGGGTTGGGTTGAAGAGGGACATTTTAAAAAAACCTGTCCCCAATGTGAAAGCCCAAATAATTTAGTAGCACCCATTTGTCGGTACTCTGGAAACGGGCCATGGATTGAGTTAAATCTTCTCTGACTCACAGCTGATCACACTCTGGAGAATAGTGCTGTCGTGTCATGTTTGGTCTAACATGCACAGTTGACCTGGAGCATATTGGTGCTGGTCAACACAAAGGTTAGACTCTGACCATTCTGCTGTTAAGTTAAGCAGTCATTCATTCATGGGATTATCCATTTCCTTCACTGGCAGATGATGGATTGAATGCTTACTGTTGAAGACTATCCCTGAAGACCACCGCAGTACTCTCAGAGCGACTAATTAACCCATTCACTCTTTCTCTCTCACACTAAAACATCAACACACACCTGAATGTTTATTAGATCAAACGCTAATTCATAAGCTGATTAGAGGAACTGTGCATTTTGCCATTACAAGTCACACACGCATTAATACACACACGTTAATACTGAAACATTTACAAAGTGTACTTTGTTCTTTCCTCCAACTCATACCCTTCATACCCATACAGCATGTCCTCTCTCCTCCTTTTTTCCCCTTTGAGAACAATCCCAGCTATATTTAGACAAAGAGAAGAAAATTTTGTCTGTGAGTGCAAGCAGGGTAATGCTTTCTCCTTGCATAAGAGTGGCTGTAATTAGGTCTATATGCCACACACTTACACTTTCACAAACATACACCATCTGTCTTGTGTGTGTGAGTGTTTGTTCACAAACACAATTTTAGTCATTAGCTTGGGTTCCACTGTATCCTGGCATCATTTTTAATGTTAAAGAAGAAAGGCACGGCTGCTTCTTAATGGACTGACTTTGTTTTCTGGTTCTGGTTTGAATTAAATAGATTGTAAAAGAAGGAGCGCAACGCAAAGACTGGACAGTTACTGTCTAACATCATTGCACTCTATAGTGAAGCTGTGCTAATGTATGACACAAAATATCATTCATGCAAGATATACCATTAGTGCCAGACATGCATACACACACATCTATCTATCTATCTATCCATCCATCCATCCATCCATCCATCCATCCATCCATGGGAAACTTAACAGAGACAAATAACTGTGTTGTTATTCTGTCAAATTAGTACCATCTATTAATGTTATAGATGAACAGGACTGATAACGTTTGCTGTCAAGCTGCCATATTAATGTTAGCGTTTCATTATGTTGCTGTTGAAAGACTGCTAATAGTTAAATGGCGAACGTGTGCATCAGTCAGGTTACTGTTTATTATAACTTTTTAACACTGAAGTGTTATCGAAACAAAAGCTTTACTGACCTCTCAAATGCCTCATAAAGTGTCGTTGGATGTTTTGGACTCAGTGAAGGACAGGCTGCGTGCCTGCCTGTCTGCAACCATGCTGTGCGACATTGTATTCTAAACAGCGTGGAGGCAGAGACAGCTTTCAGTAGTCATTTTTAATATCAATCGCTGTGAGTGTTGATTTTTTTGACAACTCTAATTATAAAGTTTGTTTTCTGCTCATGTTTGTGTGAGTGAGTGTAATAACGACCAAACTAACACATGTAACTGCATCACTCAAAAAGTTTACAGCTGTGGGACTAGAGGCCGTTTGAGAAAGCTGTCTAAAATAGAGAAATGTGAGACAGTGGGGGCAGCGTCATGTGTGCTAGTCACAGGTCAATACACATTTTGTACAGGCTAAAACTAATAATCTTTTCTCCTTTTTTGATCAATTCATTAATCAATTGTTGAAAAGCTGAAAATATTTTACAAACACTAAATTTTCACTGACAGGTTCTTTTGTTGTTCTCTGACCAATGTCTTTCTACTAGGAAAACATATCACCTAAATCAGTAGTGCTATAATTGAAACCAGTGAGCTTTGATTTATTTCCAAACTCTGATGCATTGCTTTTCCTGTGACTCATTCTCAGTTAATAAGTAAAGAAAAATTCCAGGAGAGTTGAGTATTTGTTTTTTGTGCTCTGGGTTTCATCAGGCCTCCTACTGTGTAAAGATTCCTCATATCCATTTGTATTATTTTCTCTTATCTCATATCATAAGTTTTAGTCTGCTGAGTCTGGAGCATTATTCCTCCATATACTTTCCCCCCTGTCTTCTCTTCCTCTTTATGTCACCAACAGGTTAAAAAGGAGTCACTTTCCTTCCAAATGTAGGCTATCCAAAGAGCCGTCACTCACTTCCAGTCTCACAGGGTTTTATCTTTTTTTGTTTTTGCCTGTGTCGTCCTCTGAAAAGGCTTCCGAGTTTCTTTTCGGCCTTTCCCTCGCTTGTTCGCGCTTTCCTTCCTTCTGCGCTTTCTTCCCGGTTCCTTTTATATCTTACAGAGATGCTCCTCAGAGAAATTTTAGTGGAGTTGTCTGATCTGAATAAATGTTTGCGATTAGAGCGAAGACTGTCTTGGGGTTTGGGTTTCCTGTGTGGGAGTTGGTGCTCAAGTCGCTCGGCTGTGCCACTGTGTTTAGATGAGTCTTTGTCATAGCCTCACTCTCTCCTCCGTCTGTCACTCTCAATTTTGTGGCATCTATTTTTAATGGCCAGAGAGATGTGCGGAAAGCCCGCGCCTCGGTCTCTGGCTAGATGAACAAGATAGTTGAAGGAAGGTTACTTTTCTCTTATCACAGTGGCTTTTATTTAGATGTAGATTTGTTGTGAAGGAATATTATAGCTTTTAAAGTATAATATTGTTATGTTATGATATTCATGTCTGCAGATCAGTGAAAGTAGACTGAAAGCTATATGTAGGCAAACA